ATGTGTGATATATAGACCTGGACACTCACAGTAATTTGTGGAATATATACTCATGGAAAGTCACAGTAGTCTGTGATATATAGAGCTGAAAATTCACAGCAATCTGTGATATATCTACATATGGAAACTCACAGTAATCTGTGATATATCTACATATGGAAACTCACAGAAATCTGTGACTAAAACACATGGAAAGCTACCAGAAATCTGTATAAATAAAACACATGGCAAGCTACCAGTAATCTGTACAAATAATACACATGGCAAACTACCAGTAATCTGTACAAATAAAACACAGGGCAAGCTACCAGTAATCTGTACAAATAAAACACATGGCAAAACTATCAGTAAGCTGTACAAATAAAACACATGGCAAAACTACCAGTAATCTGTACAAATAAAACACATGGCAAAACTACCAGTAATCTGTATAAATAAACACATGGCAAACTACCAGTAATCTGTATAAATAAACACATGGCAAACTACCAGTAATCTGTATGTATAAACACATAGCAAACTACCAGTAATCTGTATGTATAAACACATAGCAAACTACCAGTAATCTGATTAAATAAACAAACACATGGCAAACTACCAGTAATCTGTGTAAATAAACACATGGCAAACTACCAGTAATCTGTACAAATAAACACATGGAAAACCTATCAGTAATCTGAGTAAATAAACACATGGCAAAACTACCAGTAATCTGTATAAATAAACACATGGAAAACCTATCAGTAATCTGTATAAATAAACACATGGCAAAACTACCAGTAATCTGTATAAATAAACACATGGCAAAACTACCAGTAATCTGTATAAATAAACACATGGAAAACTATCAGTAATCTGTATAAATAAACACATGGCAAAACTACCAGTAATCTGTGTAAATAAACACATGGCAAAACTACCAGTAATCTGTGTAAATAAACACATGGAAAAACTACCAGTAATCTGTGTAAATAAACACATGGCAAAACTACCAGTAATCTGTGTAAGTAAACACATGGAAAAACTATCAGTAATGTAAAGGAAACATTCCCAAAAGAAAAGAAAAGAGCCAGAAAGGCACATAAATCTCACAAGCAAGCATAATTAATAACAATCATAAATAAATCACACTAAATCCCAAAGCCACCCACTATAAGCAGGAGGCAGTGGTACTCTGACCTGTACTGACTGCGGAGCAGCAAAGAAAGAGGAAATGATGCAATGGGAAGGGGGTTTTATAGTGCCTAACTTTTTTCTGATTGGTTGTTTTTCTGTGCTGCTGTGGAGTTCTAGTAAAGAGAGACTAAAGCAAATACGAAGCCTCCTGTCATGTTATAAAATTAAGAAATGTTATTTTCCAAGTTCTACACATAATTTTTACTGTGCATACTGTTAGCTTATACTTCAAATAAACACACATATTTGTATTCTGTGATGTCCCACAAGTACAACAATGCCCTCCATGTGCAGGTTTTATGGTGGTATGGAAAAATACAGGGTCAAATATAGGGCTTGCACATTCAATTCTCTGGTATTTCTGCTGGCCTATTATGAATTATATAATTTCATTTGGAATGTGGTAAAATCCAATTTTTCCAAGCAGTGCCACTCAAGCATACAAAATAAGTTTCACAGTATAATTGATGTCAGAAGTAAATAATACACATATACAATAAATGAGAAAATGTAAAAAAAAATTGCAGTAAAGGAATTATAGCATTAACTCATCCTCGCACCGCTGGACAACACGTTTCAACATGGCAAATGCATCTCAAGTTCATAAATAAGCCTCTTTACTTTCTAGAAACTGATGCTTAGATAATGATTAACTCTGTAGCATTAGGGAAATTTCATTTAAATGACCCCATGTTAAGCCAAAGGACTGGGAGAAACTGTGATAGCAGTTACATTGTAAAACATCAACAGATTATTTACAAAAGCAAATTAATAACAAGGGAGTTAACAGTTGGTTTACATCCAATTAATAAATAGAAGTATATGCAAAGATATTAAGGTATACTTAACAAATGCTCAATGACTATGATGCTCTTGAATATTAGGAAGAGATCGGGAAAATGGAAGTGGAAATTAGGAAAGTGGATGAGAACTTGTGTTCCACATTGAATTAAGAGTACCCAAGAACTGGTTGAAAGGTGTGTGGAGACCTTTTACTGAGAAGCCAAAAATCACACGTGGAGCAAGTTCCAATGAAACTTGTCCAATTATACTATGGGACATGTCTATGCCTGGCAAAGACAGACACAGACAAAAGGCAATACATGAAAGGACTCTACACAATATACTTCACATTGATATCGGAGGACAGATTCGGAAGTCACTACTAATGGTACTGATATATAATCACAGACTTGGTCTTCCCAGCTTTTAGGATCACAAATGGACAACATGGCAAATAGAAGAAATTGAGAGGTGGGGGAGGAAACGTAAGATACAGACAAAAATGCAAGTAGCATCAAGTAAGTCTGGGCAAGTCTGTCATGAAAATGAGAAATGTGAAACACAACATGTAAGTCTATAACCTTTTCCACATGGACTTTGAGTAAAGTAGAGGTATATTTTTATCTAAAGGTCTTACTTTTTGTGCTAACCAATTTATTAAACCTCTAACTTTGGCCATTGAACTGTTTAAATTATTTACAAATATTTGACTAAGGTGTTTCTAAGTCTAAAATGGCTCCATCCATTTAATTTGTAGAACTAGATTCTAAGGATGTTGCATAGATTACCATGTAATTCATGAGTATTGAAAAGAGTAAGGCACTTTCGAATTTACAGAATGATAGAAGCATAACCACAAAGCCTGTAGATAAAGATGGATCCATAGTAATATTGGATTATGCTGATTACATGGCTGAGATTAATAGACAGTTAAGTGACATTGAAACCTATATAGATTTAGGATGTGATCCTGCAGTTAGTATCAGTTCTGAAATTGGGAATGTATTGAAAGACACATTTAATTCCAATTTTGATTTATTTTCTTTTTTGAGTCAGGATTTTATATTACACCGATATATTTGCTGCCCAAAATTTATAAACGTAATAACAAACCACCAGAGAGACCCCTACAGGGACCAATGGATTATTATTCAAGCCATTGTCAATGTAAGGGAGCTCCAGTACTCCAACAGAGTACCTCCATTGATGGATGCTCCTAGTGCTTCCCGAGGACTCCAAGCACTCCACTTGACACCATCAGCACTGCAGACCGAACCTCTCTTCCTCCAGAGAGTGAAGCTGGAACAAGCTCTTAACAGAGCTTAGTGATTATAGCCAAGGGAGTATAGAGTGTATAGCAATCCCCAGTGTAAATACAGCCTTTTCCCCCACACATGAGACAAGGCTCTAAGTTGAGTGTAAAACAGGAACTCAGCAGTCTGAGGGTTTATTGGCACTTATATGCAACTTTCCCACAAAGTTACCACCCACGTGGTCTTGTGGAACAACCAATCAAAACATTACAATACAGTCAAACACTCCCATTCATTTCAGCAAAATCATCCCCTCTGCCTGTGATAGAATTACTGTACACACTGGGCTAATGTAATTATCACAGGCAGGAAAATACACAGTTTTACACAATATTCATAACTTTAAAAGTATACATCACATTCACATAAAACTTACATATTCTGAAGCAGCATACACAGTATACACACATATGTCAAAAATTGGTCCAGTGGTTCAAAAGGTAGATGGAAGTACTATTTGACCGACTGCAAGCATGGCTTTCCTGCCCCCAAACCAGTTCCACAGAGTTAGGCTGTGCAGCCGGTCTATCTTCTCCTCTATCCTGGAGATAATTGGTTAACTGGGTGTGGTAAGCCAATTATCTCCAGGTACAGAAAACATTCACAACAGCAGCAAAAATACACAAAAATACATAATTCCCATTACACTGAACAGAACCCCCTATCCCCAGATAGCTTGGATCTGAGCGCTCAATATATCAGAACAGCGCTCAGATCCCACGAACAGAATAAAATCGCCTTGGGGTTAAAATTTAGCATGGGCTGATGAGAGGTTGAGGAGGGACAAAGCAGTCAGTTTCATTTAAAGGGCCAGAACAGTCTTTTAAACACCAATAAGTCCAAATAGTGGTTTTAAAGGGCCATAAACCCCAGGGCCATAATCATGGGGAAGGAGGCTGGCAATCAGGCTTCTCCATAAGCCAGGGGAACAGGGTAGTTTGTCACATGAAAAAACAGTGACAAAAGGCCTTTTGTCACAGTCAATATTTTTAAATAGAGTATTGCATTCAAGTTTACAGAATATTTTTTTTTTTTTTTTTAAAGACATGACAAACTTGCTGGTCAAACTTGAAGATGTACAGTTCAGTTAACATCTGGCACTTCTAACCCTTGACATTGCTAGTTTAAACACTTTAACAAATATTATCAAAGGGATGAAAGTTATAACTGAAGTACTTAGTGAATTGAGTTATCAAGGTGACAAGCTTTTTAAATGTCCCTATTAAATTTGGTTTAGAACAGAAATTATCTGAAATTTGGTAATTCCTTTTACAGTCTATGTTAGAGAACAAGGGCATGTATTATTAACCTTTTTTTTTTTTTAATTTGACAATTTTTATTGAGACATGCGGATACATTATAATCGCGTGTGTACCTTTTGTATATTCTTCATGACTAAACATAGGTTAATGTGTCCTGGTTACATTTAGATTAGACATTTCAATTAAGACATTACTTGTTGTCGTTAGGTACATAAATAATGCATATGACATGCCCCAAGCATTTTGTGGGGAGGTTAGTGTTGAAGGAGGGGGGTAAAGAAAAGAGAGGGAGAAATGAGGTAACGGGGGGTTATCAATGGAATGGGGAAGAGATGACCCTCAGTTGTCCTGCTGGCTTGGCAGGATGACCCGCGTCTGTAAGGGAGGATGGCTAGCAAGTATCCTCCGTCAATGAGTTATTGTTTGTTCACGCACGGTAGATGCCGTTCTTACCATCCATCAGCCATTATGTTGTTGGGTTATCAGTGTGGTTGTTGTATGTGTCCCATATATGTTTTGCCTTCGCTACTGTAGGTCTTGGGCCAAATTGGTGTTGGTGCATGGCTTCATATGTCCAATTGAGTGCAATTTGGTTTACTAGGTGTGTATGCGACGATATTTCTCTAGCTTTCCAATGTCTCGCCATTAGGATATGTATTGATGTAAGCGTATGGTATATTAGCGCCCGGTGAGTTTTGGACATCCTCTCAGGAAACATGTACAACAGGCATAGTGCAGGATTTTTTTCTGCCTGGTGACCAAGCATATCCAACATGATTCGGAGGGCTTGTGTCCAGAGAGGAGCCAGTGTGGGACATGCCCACCATATGTGGATCATTGCTTCCCTCTTGCAACGCCAACACATGTTCGAGGAGGCGGGACACATTTTGTGTATTTTTTCCGGTACTAAGTACCAACGGTATAATATTTTTCGTTGCATTACTAAGTGTTGAGCGCACAATGTTATGCCTTTATGTGCTGTGCAAGCTCTTTTCCACTGCTCTGGGCTTAACTCGGTGCCTAATTCTTTGTGCCAAGCTTTTTTGTAGTGCTCGAGTGTTATTGGTTGGCTGTGTAGGATCATGTGGTAGCATATGGAGAGAGGTTTTATGTTGGGCTTATTTGATAGGCATATATTTTAAAACCTTGAGGTTGGTGCGCTTAACACTTTCTCGGTATTCGTGGGTAGGTTGTTTGTTAGTAAAGATTTGACTTGGAGCTAAGGGAATAGGAAGTTTGTGGGTAGATCAAATTGTTCCTGTAGGCATGGGAAGGTTTTGAGGTATTCCCCTTGGTATAGGTGGAGTACATGTATGATGCCTTTTTCGGTCCACGGCTTATAGTTAAAAGTGGGGCTTGTCAAGCTTATAGATTGCAGAGGAGCTGCCGTTGGTATTTTTGGGTGCTTAACCAACGTTTTCCTCACCCAGTCCCAGGTGTCTACAAGCAACCGAGTAGTGGGGAGGCCTGGAAATGGTTTTGGTCTCCGGGTACTGTCAATCCAAAAGATCGGGAGGATGTGGTCCATTTTGAGCCAGAAGGCCTCTATTCCTGTCCATTGTGGGATATAATGGGAGTCGTGTGCTGCTAGCATAGTTCTCAATAATGCCATTTTATGGTATATATGCAGGTTTGGGATACCCAGACCACCATCTGCAACCGGCCTGTGTAAGATTTTGGCGGCTACACAGCTTTTTTTGTGTTGCCATGTGAATTTCATGAGTAGTGAGGTGACCGACTTGAGGTAAGTGTTTGGTAGGGGTATTTGTAGTGTTCTGAAGAGGTATAATAGTTTTGGTAGAAATGACATTTTGATTGCTGCTATGCGCCCCAGCCATGATTTCAGGGTAGTGTTGAAGTCCTTCAGGAGTATTACATAGTTTGCGTGGAAGAGTCCTGCAGGTTTTTTTGTAAGTTTAATTCGTAGGTATGTTAAATGGTCAGACCTCCAATCTAGGGGAAATGCCTCTTTTAGCCTGTTTCTTGCCTCCTTTGCCACTCCTATCATTAATGCCTGTGTTTTGGAGACATTTAATTTATAGTAAGAGTGGTGGTCAAAGAGATCGATTTGTCACATTAAATTGGGCATGGTTATGAACGGTTGTGCTAAAGTGAGAAGAATGTCATCTGCAAAGATGTTTAGTTTGAATTTGTTAGCGCCCAGGGGAATTCCATGGATGTTCGGGTCTGATCTAATTTTGGATGCCAGTGGCTCCATGGCCAGTACATAGAGCAGAGGGGAGAGAGGGCATCCCTGTCTGGAGCCATTAGTAAAGTTTATTTCCCGAGAGGAGAATCCTGCATAGAGGACCTGTGCAGAGGGCGTGCTGTATAGGGCATCTACTGCTGCAATGAATTGCGTAGGGAAGCTGAATTTGTGGACTACTCTATTTAAAAATGTCCAGTTTAGTCTATAGAAGGCCTTCTCCACGTCAAGGGACATGAAGAGGCCCTCCATTCCTAGTTTTCTAGAGCTGTACATGAGGTCTAGTACCTTGCGGGTATTATCTAAGCCCTGTCTGCCCCTTACAAACCCTACTTGATCATCATGTATTAGGTCTGGTAGGATAGTTTTAAGTCTGTTGGCTTGCAGATTTGCAAATAGCTTGGCATCTGTATTGAGTAGGGAGATTGGACGGAAATTTGGGCATGCGGTTGGAGGTTTAACTGGTTTGGGGAGGGTGGTAATATGTGCCTGCAAGAGATTTGTGGGTAATGAGTGTTTATCTATGGCGTTATTGAATAACGTAGTCAGTGCAGGGGATAAGTTGTCTGCATAGAGATAGTAATATGTGTTCGCGAGTCCGTCAGGACCCGGGGCTTTGCCTGCAGGGAAGGTTTTTATTGTGTCCTTTACCTCTTGTTGAGTGATGGGGGCTGAGAGGGCTTCTCTATGCTGTTGTGAGAGGGTTGGCAAGTGGGCATCCTTTAAGTATTCATCGATAGATGCGGGGGATGTTGAGGGTGTTAGTGGGTCGTTTTTATAAAGATTCATAGTACGTGGCAAATTCGTCGCTTATAGCTTTCGGAGCCACTAGTCTGTCTCCATTTGGTGTCTGTATGTGTGCTATTTTGGATGTGGCCTGTCTGTCTCGAAGTCTTTGGGCTAGTATTTTGCTCGCTCTATTACCCTGAGAGTAGTGTGTGGCTTTTAATTTCCTTAGTGAGTAGCCTACTTTGGTAAGTGCTAAAGTCTGTATTTTATCCTGTGTTTCTGAGATTTCGCTTTTTAATTCTGGGGACGAGTTTGTTTGGTTTAGTTTATTAAGATCATGTAGTTGTTTGTACCAGGTGACCTGTTGGGTATGGGACATCCGTTTGAGGTAGTGGGCTCATTTTATCAGTTCCCCGTGGATAACTGGTTTAGGAGCAAGCTAGGTGGTTTCCGCAGAGATCCCTGCTGTGGTATTTTCTTTAAAATAGTTTTTTAGCGTGTTTTGTATGTGTTTTGTGAATGTTTTGTTGTGTAATAGTGTTTCGTTCAAACGCCAAGGGCTTCTATTGTGGCTTTCAAATTTGTCTTTTAGTTCCAAGGTGATAGGCGCATGGTCCAACCATGTGATTGTCGCTATGGAACATTTGAGTACCTGCGTTAAGTGTTTTCCCTCAGTGAGGAACCTGTCGATTCGGGTGTAGGAGTTGTGAACCGAGGAGAAGAATGTAAAGTCTTTCTCTGCGGGGTGGAGCACCCTCCATGCGTCATAGAGGTTATGTTCATCTAGTAGTTTCTGGTATGTTTTGCATTGTCTACTGGCTGGGGTGCTTCCCTGTGTACTTGATCCTTTGGATGAGTCTAAGCCAGGGTCCAGAGTGTGGTTAAAATCTCCACATATTATCAACATTCCCTTCTGGATAGGCGCTATTTTAGCTAGTGTTCTGTGTAGGAAGTTGCATTGTTTTGAGTTGGGTGCGTATACATTTACTATTGTGTAGGTAATATCAATGATGGCGCAAATTAGTATGATATATCGGCCTTCCTCATCTATGACTAGGTCATGTTCTGTGAATGCTACTCGGTTGCTTATTAACACAGATACCCCTTTCGTTCTGGATTTTGCTGTAGCATGATGTTTATATGGGTATGCGAGGGGTTTAAGGTTGTGTGGTTTGGTGAAGTGTGTCTCCTGGAGACATACTATGTCAGGTTTGGATTTTTGAAGGTCTTGGAATATGAGGTGGCGTTTAACAGGGGTGTTCAGCCCCCTGACATTGTGGCTATATATTTTCATGGCGGGTCGTGTCCTTCCTTGAGACTTCTGTACCAGCACTGGAGTCCGGAGTTTACATGGGAACATCCCCTCATAGGGTCTAGGTTGGTCTAGGTAAGGGAGGGAAGGTAGGAAATTTATAAAAGAGAAGAGGAGAAACAGTGCAGTTAGGACTGAGGAGCCCAAAGTGGGCTGAGTACCCTGAGTGGGTACTGTGGAGGTTGGCAACTTCAAAAACATAAACATAATATCGTAGGCGATTAGCCCTAAAACATTTCTAAACAATTCTGCAAATATTATTGGTTTTTTTGGTTTGTTTTTTTTCCTTTCTTTTTGTATATAACGTTGTGGGTAATGACAAACATATATCACAGACTTGGAGAGGTGTCGAGCCTATAGGTCAAGTCAAGTGGTAAAACACCTTCATCCTGTGGTTAACTTTGGCAAGTAAGAGAATGATAGGCCTTTAGTAGCATGGCCATTGGCAAAGTTTATCTGGTGTTGAAAGGAGTGTCTGGTGAGTGTCTTGCGTGTGTGCAACTAGTCGGTTGCTTTGCTCGTCTGCGTCCTCCCTTATCAGTAATACATAGGGTGAGAAAACAGCTTTTAAAAAATTATTATAATTATTATTTATTTTATTTTTTTGGTTTTTATAGTTAATATACTTGTTTGTAGTGTATCTGTGCGCGTTTTTTTTTTCTGTGAGTGCAGGTATGAGTGTGACGTTTGTGGGATGTGCTGTAGAGGGTGAGGGATTGTATACTGATACCAGATAGATATGTCCACAATCAGGAAGCGTCCCTTCTCAGTCCTGAATCTGTAACACCCATGTCTGGATATAAGAAAGTGAAGGGTGGATAATTTTTTTGCCTTCTTCCACTCTTGTTTTATTTGCTGTGGCGAAGTTGTATGCCCAGGCTGTTTGCGGACAGGTAAACCCCATTGCTTTGGGGCCTTTAATCTTTCTTCTGGTGTTGTCACGTGGGTGAAAGCTCCATTACGCTGGATAATCAGACGTACCGGGTGCCCCCATCTATAGGGGATCCTGTGTTCCCGCATGTGTTCCCGCAGGGTGTCAGTGATCTCCTTGAAGCTGCTTCGCCATTGTAGGGTGGCCGCTGATAGATCTGCATATATCTGTAGCTCGTTATATTGTGGTGGAAGGTTTGTGCAGCTCCTTGCAGCTTTCAGTATGGCCTCTTTGACGTGATAGTAATGTAGGTGAGTCAGTGTGTCTCTTGCTGCATTGCTGGTAGGAACTTCGGTTTGGCCACACGGTGAGCCTGGTCAAGAAGGATCATATCCATCGGCATGTCCGGTATAAGTCTCTTGAAAAACCCTGTTAAAAATTCAGGTATGTTGGCTTGCGTTACCGATTCTGGTATTCCCCGCACTCTCAAGTTTTGCTGCCGTGATCTATCTTCAAGATCAGAGATCTTAAGCTGGGCTGAGGTGAGTTGCTTTTCCAGGGCTTGAACGTGGTCTGCTAGGTCATTATGGGCTTCTGCATATTCGCCAATGCGGTGCTCCAAATGGGCTGTTCTTTCGCCCAGCTCCTGGATATCTTTACTGAGCGCAGTAACCGATGCTTGTATATTATTCAGCAATTTATCTGACATTTCGTCCAGGCATGCTCTCAGAATTTCTTGTGTGACGGGGAGACTCCCTGGGTCGGGTG